TGGCGCTCGTCAGAAGCGGTGCCGAGACGTCGGGGCGGGGCTTCCGCGGCGTGTGGGCGTGGCCTCCTGCGGGCGGGGCCTTCCGGGCCGCAATGTTGCCGAGCTCGGTTTGCAAGTCTCCGGGCTCCGCGGACAGTTTGCTGGGCCCGGTGCAATCTAGCCGAGGCAACATTGCCGAGAGGCGGAGTCGGGCCGGACGATGATGTACCCGGTGATCCAGAGACTGCTGCACAAGCGCGTGGTGTTGGCCAGCGCTTCCCCGCGCCGCCAGCAGATCCTTAGCAACGCGGTGAGCGGCAGGGGCCGGGGCGGGCCGGGGCTGCGGCCAGCCTCCAGGACGGCCTTGGGTCCTGGGCTGGGGTCTGTAGCCGGGCTGCTACAGTAGCTGGGCTGCTGTGTCCAGGTTGGGCCTGGGGCCTGGTGATAGGAGGGTGGAGGGGACTACAACTGAGGCCTAGTGACCAGAGGACCTAGTGACCCTGAGGCCTGTTGACGGGATGGGGACTCCGTGACTGGGGGCCTGGGCCCAGGGACCTTGGGACCTGTGACCAGCGGCCTTCTGTTCCTGGGGCCCAGTGACTGCAGAGAAGGCCCTTAGAAGGGGGTGGCCAAGGTTTGCCAGCTGTGCCCAGGGATCCTGGGGCCTGTGACCAAGGATGGAGTCACTGGGGACTGGGGTCTGCCAGGCAGGGTCTGGGGAGCGGGGGCCAGGGTGTGCAGGCTCGGGTCTAGTGACAGGATCTGAGGGCCAAGGCTCGGGGCCTCGTGACCTGCTCTGCTGGGTTGTGCGGGGCTGCCAGGCCAAGCCAGGTCAGTAGGCCTGAGCCCATCTGTCCAGGAGCTGGCAGGCTGTAGGGACAGAGCCCGTGGCCACATTCAGGGATAAAACTGCCCTGCGCTGAAGGCCCACACGCCTGACCCTGGGACAGGAGTCCCTCCATGTCCAGCCTCCCGTAGGGACTGTCTTGCCTGTTTGTGGCGTTAGGGGACCAAGAGGCCTGAGACACGGAGACAGACGAGGGAACCAGGCATATTTCTCCCTCACGCAGCGCGGTTTTTTTTTTTTTTTTTGCAGTTCTTGAGGGCATTATATTTTTGGTCGCTCGAGCCCTGTGGGGTGAGGCATCGGCTTTGGGTTGCTCTGGGAGCCCTTTGACCTTGGGGATCTGTGTGCCCAGCACCTCGGTCAGTTCTGGCTCCTTGGCCCTTGTGTGTATGATGTGCAGCAGATGTCCCCGCTCGGGGCCCGCCAGCCCTGGGCAGCGCAGCTGTGCGCTCTGGGTGAAAATTCAGGGGACAGTGCAGAGTCGGGAAGGGGGACCGCGCACGGCGAAGGCCACACTCATCGTACCCTTGCACGTGCTGGTCCGTGTTGCATTTTCCTGACAAACCAACGGGACTCCTCCCCACTTCTCTTGTTCCAGGGTCTCAAGTTCGAGGTGGTTCCTTCCCAGTTTAAAGAGACGCTCAGGAAAGCCTCGTTCCCCACCCCCTACGCGTATGCCGTGGAGACGGCCAAGCAGAAGGCCCTGGAGGTGGCCCGCAGGATGCACCAGGCAAGGAAGGGGCTTCTGCTTCTGCTGTCTTGGGCTCTCTCGCTGGGAGGGGTTTGCAGGTTTCTGATAGACGCGCTATGAGTAGCTGACCTTTCCGACGTGTGAGGACTGAGGACGGGACCTCATTTATCACGGAGTGTTACTGCGAAGTACACTGTTACAAGCGTGGAATAGCACCACTTGTGCGATGGAGCTTAGCTGTCGCTTGGACACAATGTAACGTTATTGTAGTTAATATAACGGTATCATTTCTCGTAAAGATTCAGGATAGCTTATCTATTACTCTGTGACTCTTTACTGTTATAATTAATATAATGGTATCATTTACAACAAAGAATTAAGGTAGCTTATCTATTACTGTGTTACTTTATAACATACTATCGAATCGATATAATAGCATCATTTACTTGGTATAGTTTATGAGTTACTTTGTTAATACGTAATATACCGTGGCGATTAATGCAACAGTATCATTTATTATATAGAACTAACGTAGCTTAGCTTCCCTATACCGTGTGTTACAAGGACTTCCTATTGCCATTCGCACGGTAAGTGCATTGTAGTTACTGCTGTGAAGAGCTCCGGTATAAATAAGTGAACACTGGCAGATTGGTTATCGGCAGTGGAAGATTAGTATTTAAGAACAACCCAAGTTCACGGTTGTGTACAGACTTCAGGTGACAGGTGACCGTGTAAGAGTCACACTGCTGTCTTTGCCCGGCACAGGGAAGAGACACGGGTCTTGCTTTTTGCTGTAAGCCTGGCTCTCTGCCCGTGATGCCGTTTCACGTGCATCAGGACAGAATGTTCGTGTGACGGTGTCGCCGCGAAAGCTGGGTTTCGGTTTCTTGCAGAAAGACCTCTGGGCCCCCGACATCGTCATCGGAGCAGACACCATCGTGGTGAGTCCGGCCTCTGGTTTGGTTTGCACATCCTTGGTGACTAAGGTCAAGTGTGAGCAGAGCTGTGCGGTAGCCTCTGTCCCGGGTCCCTCTCCACGCTTCTGGGGGCTGCTGGCGGTCCGTGGCGTCCCTGGGCTTGTGGCTGCGTCACCTCAGGGTCTGGCTTTGTCCCCACGAGTCTTTCTCTCTGTGTGGCGGTCTCTGTCCGAATCTTTCTCTTCTTGTGAGCACAGCACCTGTAACGACAGAGGGCCCAGCCAACTGCAGTAGGACCTCGTGGTAAATTCGACGACATCTGCAGACGCCCTGTTTGCAAACACTGGGGCAGCAGCCTCACAGGCCTTCTGGGGGACACAGCTCTGCCGCAGACAGGGATTTGGGCCACCGAGAGTGGTTTTGTCCTGGGAGGTCACGGGAATCGGTCGTCACCAAAGTCCTGCTGGCGACAGCCCTCTGTCCTCACGCACGACTTGCCTGCTGGCCTTGGTACCAAGCCGGCAGCACGGTCTACAGGCGAGGGGCTGCCCCCGTGAGCCGGGACACTGTCCAGGCTCAGAATATGCCGGTGGCGCGATCCTGGGGTACGCCTCGCTCCCGCGTGGTCCTCACGGCCCTGTTCACTGCTTGTGCTAAGGCCGTCTCTGTGCGGAAGCTGAAGCCGGGATACACGATGCGGCCTCGAAAGGCTCGGCGTGGAATCGCTGTCTCGTGCAGCATGTCCACCGCCTCGGGCTGCACTGCGTCCCATGAAAGCCACACGTGGAAGTCCCCAGCCCCGGGAGCTCCGAACATGCTAGATGTGGAGATGGGGCTTTACGGGGGAGGTGAAGGTGCCATGAGGTCTCCAGGGTGGACCCTGGTCCCATAGGACTGTGTCCTTATAAGAAGAGGGGACGAGGACACAGACACACACAGAGGGACGACCATGTGAGCACACAGGGACGGGACGGCGTCCACACGCCCAGGAGAGAGGCCCCAGGAGGGACCCGCCCTGTCCACACCTACATCTCAGATGTCCAGCGTCCAGGACGGGGACAAATCAATGTCTGTGTTTTAAGCTACCAAGTCTGGGGTCCTTTAAGGCTGCCTGAGCAGCGTCATCCACCGACTGTTACGTGTACGCCTCAGATAATGAAAAATGTGTGTTCCCAGACCGACGGAAAACAAGCTGTTCGTTGCCGAAGGGGAGGGGCTTGGGGTGGAGAAAAATATATACCTGTCTGCAAACAAAACCTCGTCCACACGCGTTCACAGCAGCAGTTTACAACAGCCAAGACGAGAGAAACCTCAGGTGCACATCAACTACTAAGTAGATGAGCAGAACACGCCCCACCCCCACAGTGGAATATTAGGCAGCCAGGAAGAGGGGGAGGTGCTGATCTGTGCTACAATGTGGATGGACCTCGGACACACGATGCTCAGTGACAGACGCAGACACGGAAGGTCCCATTGACGTGAAACGTCCAGAACGGGCACGTCCACAGGCAGGAAGTGGCTGGGCAGTAGCTGGAGTGGGGGCGGGGTGGGGGTGACCGCTCAGGGCCTCTGCCCTCCCGGTTTTCTCACAGGCGATCGAGGGGCTGATTCTGGAGAAGCCTGTGGACAGGCAGGATGCCTACAGCATGCTGTCCAGGTGGGCGCCGTGGGGACCGGCCCCGTGTCAGGCCAAGCCCTGGGTGCGGGGAGGGGCCGCGGGTCCTCGTGGGTTCAGGGCACGACATCACGGGTCTCCTGCCCCCTCCTTGCCCTGCACACCCGTGTCCACGGACAGGCTTACACAGCCCCGCACACGGGGAGGTGGGCCTGGCCCCAATGACACCCCAGAAACAGCCAGCAGAGAGCTGCCCCGTCGGGGTCCTCTCGGCCCAGCCAGGGCCCCTGTGGGGTCTGTGTGCTCCCCGACATTCCGTGCTGTACACACACCCCCCGGGGTCCCTCCTGCTCCGAGACACCTGAGCCTCAGCCTCGCCCTGCACCCCCGGCCTCTCGGAAGCTTTCCCTGGAGACGCAGTAGCCGGCTGGTGGGGTGAAGGGGGTGCACGAGTATCTGGGGAGCGAGGACCGAGCCTGCGGCCGGGCGTCCCCCGTTGCTGGCGGGGCCGTGCTTCGAGGCGGGCTCCCTCCCGCCTGAGACGTGCCGCGTGTGTGCCGTGTGTTGCAGGCTGAACGGGAAGGAGCACAGTGTGTTCACAGGTGTCGCCATCGTCCGCTGCTTCAGCCAAGGTGCCCAGAGCCGCCGCCTCCCCGGGGTCGGGGAGTGGGGGGTCCCGGGCGCTCTCAGGGGGCAGGTCGGGGTCACTCTCCCTACAGCGCATGCCTCCCGTCCTGTCCGGGACAGTCGGGGTGACGTGCAGGTCTCGGGGTTTCCCTCTGAGAGCTCGGCGCAGTGTTCCCCAGGGTAGGGGGGCCGTGTTGGGGTGGGGATCATGCGTAAGACCTCACCGGACACCAGCCTCCCATTTCCCCTGAGGTCTTCGGTCTGGAGGTGGGGGCGGTGGGCCCACACGGGCGTGCACCAGTCACGCTGCGGTGACGAAAAGCTTAAAAATCTAAAAAAACCCCAAGGAATTATTGTTAGAGCTCCTTTGAACAGCACTGAGGTTGGGGGTCAACACGACACAAACCCCATGCTCCTGGCCCTGGGCCGCCTGACCACGTGCCTCTGGGGGGCAGCCACCTGTCTGCTTGTCAGTGATGGGGACACCTCAGCCTGCCCGTCCATCTCGGGCCCTTTGGGTGACAGCAGTCAGTGACAGATGGCGTCTGATGCTCGCCTGGGGGCTAAAACCACAGACAAGCATCCTCCCCAGGCCTGGGGACCAGCAGTGGGACATCCAGGTGTCCCAGGGCCTCGCTCCCTCCGGAGGCTCTGGGGGAGGGTGGTTGTTGCTTCTCCCAGTGTCCGGGGACCCCGGGCGCCCCTGGGCTGGTGGCCGTGTCCCTCCCACCTCCGCGTCCTTCTGCACACGCCTTCTCCTCTTCTGTCTCTGATAAGGTCACTGTCACTGGGTCCAGGGCCACCTCCTCCAGGGGGACTCATCTCAGGCCCTTCACTTGGTCCCGTCCTGTTCCCAGTCTCCAAGGGAAATGAGTTTTAGGGGGTGCCGTTCGCCCATAGGATACCCGGTGTTGGGGACTTTCCTTGGTGACCCCGACCCGTAGCCGCCGTGCCTGTGGCTTCTCCAGCCCTATGGCTGAGGCCTGTGGGGCCACAAGTCACGGCCCTCCGAGCCGCTGGCGTGTCCGCGGTTTCTGTCATGCTATCCGTCCCTCGTCCTTCGTGTAAAACAACCTCCCCCCCCACTTTTACCGGTAAGTACCCGGGT